TGACAAGCGCCCAACGTGGGGCTCGAACCCACGACCCTGAGATTAAGAGTGATGATGATAAACTTTATTTAACCACGCTAACATTGTCAGCAGAAGCTGGTTTTCACAATGGGCGTGTAAAAAACATTAACAAATTGTTACAAGTAAAATAATAAGGAAGTATTAACATGCAGAATATAAAATTATTAAAATATATACAAAAAGTTTGCTATTTAAAATGATGTGGTTTTCTTTATAAGCTATAGGTAGCGATTTTTCTTTTAAAACTTGAGAGCGAATTACTTTCTCTTATATTTTTTGGAAGAGAGTTCCATATGGAAGCTCCATCATACATGAAACTCTTTTTCATATTGTTTGTGTTTGGCTTGGGCAAACGTATGGTACTTGAGCTGTTACGAAGACTGCGGTTTAATATTTCTTTTTTGAAAGTAAATAATTCTTTGAGACAATTTGGCCCTATGTTATTTAGCGTTTTAAACATTATTTTTGCCTTTGCTTTCACTCTTTGTTCCTTGAGTGGTTCCCATCCTAATATATTTAGCACAGTTTGTTGATCTACCTCATTAGGCACACATGCTATTACACGAGCAGCTCTGTTATGAAGTTTTTGGAGACGCATGGATTGCGTTTCACCAAATATATTCCAAACTTCACAACAGTAGCTAAAGTATGGTTGAATTATAGCATTGTATACGGAAACGAGTGTTTTTTGATCAACATATTCTTTAATGCTTTTAAGAGCGTATATTCCAGATGATATCTTTTTACATATATTACGATATCTATTTACATAGATTATGCTCTACCGACTGAGCTAGCCGGGCGTCGGTTTGTAACTCCACGAAGCACCGAAATGACAGTTCACGATATCAGTGTGTTACGAAATTTCAGAACATACACCTATTTTCTCAAAAGAAAGCATCAGAAAAACGTGCCCTGTCTGAGGGTCGAACTCAGGACCTTTAGATTATGAGACTAACGCGCTGCCTACTGCGCTAACAGGGCAATCGCTTCCAATTTTATTCTTCAAGAAAATCTAAGCTGTGACGATTAAAGCTTTTTTAGAAAATATTTTTCGTCTTTCGCCCCGGAAAACCGAGATAAGAGACTTGTTATTAACGAAGCAATGACGAGGACAAATCATTTTTCACAAAAAGAATATTGGGAACCATGCACTCACGACTTGGTATGTTAAAGAAAAGTCTCAGAACTCATTAACTTAAATTGCGTGATGCTGGTCGAACAAGTACGTTTGAACTATCGACGTTGAACTCGTTGACAAGCGCCCAACGTGGGGCTCGAACCCACGACCCTGAGATTAAGAGTCTCATGCTCTACCGACTGAGCTAGCCGTGCGTCGATTTGTAACTCGACGAAGCAACGAAATGACCGTTCACGATATCAGTGTGTTACGTAATTTCAGAATATTCACCTATTTTCTCAAAAGAAAGCATCAGAAAAACCGTGCCCTGTCTGAGGGTCGAACTCAGGACCTTTAGATTATGAAACTAACGCGCTGCCTACTGCGCTAACAGGGCAATCACTTCCAATTTTATTCTTCCAGAAAATCTAAGCTGTGTTGTTAAAGTCATTTTAGAAAATATTTTTCGTCTTTCGCTCCTGAAAGGAAGATAAAAGTCTTTATCACAAACGAAGCAATGACGAGGCAAATAATTTTTGACAAAAGTAAATATTAGAAAGCACTCACGACGTGGTATGTTAAGGGAAAGTCTCAGAATTCACTGACAGAATTTGCGTGATGCTGTTCGAACAAGTACGTTTGAACTATCGACGTTGAACTCGTTGACAAGCGCCCAACGTGGGGCTCGAACCCACGACCCTGAGATTAAGAGTCTCATGCTCTACCGACTGAGCTAGCCGGGCGTCGATTTGTGACTCGACGAAGCAACGAAATGACCGTTCACGATATCAATGTGTTGCGAAATTTCAGAATATTCACCTATTTTCTCAAAAGAAAGCATCAGAAAAACCGTGCCCTGTCTGAGGGTCGAACTCAGGACCTTTAGATTATGAGATTAACACGCTGTCTACTGCGCTAACCGGGCGAACTCGTCCAGTTTTACTGATTCTTAAAGGAAATCTAAGTGGTGATGATTAAAGCTTTTTTAGAAACTATTTTTCGTCTTTCGCTCCTGAAAACCGCGATAAAAGTCTTTATCATAAACGAACCAATGACGAGGCAAATCATTTTTGAGAAAAGTAAATATTAGAAAGCACTCACGACATGGTATGTTAAGGGGAAGTCTCAGAATTCACTGACAGAATTTGCGTGATGCTGTTCGAACAAGTACTTTTGAACTATCGACGTTGAACTCGTTGACAAGCGCCCAACGTGGGGCTCGAACCCACGACCCTGAGATTAAGAGTCTCATGCTCTACCGACTGAGCTAGCCGGGCGTCGGTTTGTAACTCGACGAAGCAACGAAATGACAGTTCACGATATCAGTGTGTTACGAAATTTCAGTATATACACCTATTTTCTCAAAAGAAAGCATCAGAAAAACCGTGCCCTGTCTGAGGGTCGAACTCAGGACCTTTAGATTATGAGACTAACGCGCTGCCTACTGCGCTAACAGGGCAATCGCTTCCAATTTTATTCTTCAAGAAAATCTAAGCTGTGATGATTAAAGCTTTTTTAGAAAATATTTTTCGTCTTTCGCCCCGGAAAACCGAGATAAGAGACTTGTTATTAACGAAGCAATGACGAGGACAAATCATTTTTCACAAAAAGAATATTGGGAACCATGCACTCACGACTTGGTATGTTAAAGAAAAGTCTCAGAACTCATTAACTTAAATTGCGTGATGCTGGTCGAACAAGTACGTTTGAACTATCGACGTTGAACTCGTTGACAAGCGCCCAACGTGGGGCTCGAACCCACGACCCTGAGATTAAGAGTCTCATGCTCTACCGACTGAGGTAGCCGTGCGTCGATTTGTAACTCGAAGAAGCAACGAAATGACCGTTCACGATATCAGTGTGTTACGTAATTTCAGAATATTCACCTATTTTCTCAAAAGAAAGCATCAGAAAAACCGTGCCCTGTCTGAGGGTCGAACTCATGACCTTTAGATTATGAGACTAACGCGCTGCCTACTGCGCTAACAAGGCGAACACGTCCAGTTTTATTCCTAAAGTAAATCTAAGTTGTGATGATTAAAGCTTTTTTAGAAAATATTTTCCGTCTTTCGCCCCGGAAAACCAAGATAAGAGACTTGTTATTAACGAAGCAATGACGAGGACAAATCATTTTTCACAAAAAGAATATTGGGAACCATGCACTCACGACTTGGTATGTTAAAGCAAAGTCTCAGAAATCATTAACTTAAATTGCGTGGTGCTGGTCGAACAAGTACGTCTGAACTATCGACGTTGAACTCGTTGACAAGCGCCCAACGTGGGGCTCGAACCCACGACCCTGAGATTAAGAGTCTCATGCTCTACCGACTGAGCTAGCCGGGCGTCGGTTTGTAACTCGACGAAGCACCGAAATGACAGTTCACGATATCAGTGTGTTACGAAATTTCAGAATATACACCTATTTTCTCAAAAGAAAGCATCAGAAAAACCGTGCCCTGTCTGAGGGTCGAACTCAGGACCTTTAGATTATGAAACTAACGCGCTGCCTACTGCGCTAACAGGGCAATCACTTCCAATTTTATTCTTCCAGAAAATCTAAGCTGTGTTGTTAAAGTCATTTTAGAAAATATTTTTCGTCTTTCGCTCCTGAAAGGAAGATAAAAGTCTTTATCATAAACGAAGCAATGACGAGGCAAATAATTTTTGACAAAAGTAAATATTAGAAAGCACTCACGACGTGGTATGTTAAGGGGAAGTCTCAGAATTCACTGACAGAATTTGCGTGATGCTGTTCGAACAAGTACGTTTGAACTATCGACGTTGAACTCGTTGACAAGCGCCCAACGTGGGGCTCGAACCCACGACCCTGAGATTAAGAGTCTCATGCTCTACCGACTGAGCTAGCCGGGCGTCGATTTGTGACTCGACGAAGCAACGAAATGACCGTTCACGATATCAGTGTGTTGCGAAATTTCAGAATATTCACCTATTTTCTCAAAAGAAAGCATCAGAAAAACCGTGCCCTGTCTGAGGGTCGAACTCAGGACCTTTAGATTATGAGATTAACACGCTGTCTACTGCGCTAACCGGGCGAACTCGTCCAGTTTTACTGATTCCTAAAGGAAATCTAAGTGGTAATGATTAAAGCTTTTTTAGAAACTATTTTTCGTCTTTCGCTCCTGAAAACCGCGATAAAAGTCTTTATCATAAACGAACCAATGACGAGGCAAATCATTTTTGAGAAAAGTAAATATTAGAAAGCACTCACGACCTGGTATGTTAAGGGGAAGTCTCAGAATTCACTGACAGAATTTGCGTGATGCTGTTCGAACAAATACGTTTGAACTATCGACGTTGAAGTCGTTGACAAGCGCCCAACGTGGGGCTCGAACCCACGACCCTGAGATTAAGAGTCTCATGCTCTACCGACTGAGCTAGCCGGGCGTCGTAACTCGACGAAGCAACGAAATGACAGTTCACGATATCAGTGTGTTTCGAAATTTCAGTATATACACCTATTTTCTCAAAAGAAAGCATCAGAAAAACCGTGCCCTGTCTGGGGGTCGAACTCAGGACCTTTAGATTATGAGACTAACGCGCTGCCTACTGCGCTAACAGGCGAACACGTCTAGTTTTATTCCTAAAGTAAATCTAAGTTGTGATGATTAAAGCTTTTTTAGAAAATATTTTTCGTCTTTCGCCCCGGAAAACCGAGATAAGAGACTTGTTATTAACGAAGCAATGACGAGAACAAATCATTTTTCACAAAAAGAATATTGGGAACCATGCACTCACGACTTGGTATGTTAAAGAAAAGTCTCAGAACTCATTAACTTAAATTGCGTGATGCTGGTCGAACAAGTCCGTTTGAACTATCGACGTTGAACTCGTTGACAAGCGCCCAACGTGGGGCTCGAACCCGCGACCCTGAGATTAAGAGTCTCATGCTCTACCTTAAGAGTCTCATGCTCTACCGACTGAGCTAGCCGGGCGTCGGTTTGTAACTCGACGAAGCAACGAAATGACAGTTCACGATATCAGTGTGTTACGAAATTTCAGAATATACACCTATTTTCTCAAAAGAATGCATCAGAAAAACCGTGCCCTGTCTGAGGGTCGAACTCAGGACCTTTAGATTATGAGACTAACGCGCTGCCTACTGCGCTAACAGGGCGAACACGTGTAGTTTTATTCCTAAAGTAAATCTAAGTTGTGATGATTAAAGCTTTTTTAGAAAATATTTTTCGTCTTTCGCTCCGGAAAACCGAGATAAGAGACTTGTTATTAACGAAGCAATGACGAGGACAAATCATTTTTGACAAAAGTAAATATTAGAAAGCACTCACGACGTGGTATGTTAAGGGGAAGTCTCAGAATTCACTGACAGAATTTGCGTGATGCTGTTCGAACAAGTACGTTTGAACTATCAACGTTGAACTCGTTGACAAGCGCCCAACGACGACCCACGACCCTGAGATTAAGAGTCTCATGCTCTACCGACTGAGCTAGCCGGGCGTCGGTTTGTAACTCGACGAAGCGACGAAATGACAGTTCACGATATCAGTGTGTTACGAAATTTCAGAATATACACCAGTATTAATATAGGGGCCGTTCGGGCCTTATTTTTGAGGTGGTGGATGAGGTCGTGTGTGGTGGTGGAGTGTGAGGTGGTGGAGTTTTGAGGTGGTGGGTGTCCACCACCTCATTTATAATTAATACTCGTACAAATGAGGAGGGTGCGTAGTGACGTCACTCATTAACATACGTATGGTTTACAAGCGATCGAACGAGTGAATGGTAAGCGTATGGTTTGGAATGAATTCGCTGAGGCAATGAGGGTACTAAAACTGGCGGTTGATAGAGATGTACTCGAACATTTAGAGCAACTGGAAAAAGATCCAGATTCTACGTTTGTCGATTCATTGATGGAACTACATGTCATCAGAACACTGAGAACCACGAACTACAATGTATGCTGAACTATTTGTTTCATTGGAGATTAGAAGACCCACTCGAGTCCGTAGCTGAAGCGTTTTTCTCTTACCCACCGAGTTACATGTATTATGTGAAGGCGACGGGTGAACGATTTAGAAGTTTTGAGGCAGATCATAAGAAAGCTTATCAAGAACTCATGGAGAAAAAACGTATAGAACAGTTAAACAAATAGTTTTAGTTGTAATATTTTTGACACTATCGTCTGTTATTTGTATCAATAAACATGTTTTAAGCTTTGCAAATTTGCGTTGTTTATGTGTTGCTAAGTCATTAGGAGGCGTGTAGGTAATTAAGGGGATTAAGGCAATACAAATTTGCATAAATAAGTGTATCCCGATGGATAGATAGGGATTATTTTTAACGCAGGTGTATACCTTAAAATCAGGCGCGTGGCTTTGCGGGTGCATGCATATATTAACGTACAACGTATTTGTACACTAATCAGGCGGGCGGATCGCGCGGGCGGAAAGAGTGGGCTTTGCCGGCAAAAATTACACAATATTTCAGTTTTTAAATACATTTATTTCTTCAAAACGTTTTACAAAATTTAGTACGGTCTACTTCTAAGAGCGTAACGTCTAGGTGTTTTTGTTATTTTTAAAGAGTTCTCATATTCTTGTCTATCTTCTGGGGATAACGTTAACTTTGCAACGTCTTCATCCTTCATTGGAATATATTTCGGCCTCTCGCGAAGTAATCTTTGTTCGTAACCTTCTCTTTGTTCAGGGGTCATCATTGCCAAATCTTGGGGCCTCCAATCTGTAGAGTCTACCCAATTGTGGAAAAAGTTGTGCTTGAGTTTTGGCCGTTCCTCTTCTGTTGGTGGTGGTGTAAGGAAATTAGGTTTAGGAGTCGCAGGCACTGGTGTCGGTAGTTCCGCTATTACAGGCGTAGGAGGCGCTTGTGATGGTATCTCTGCAGGCACTAGTGGAGTTGTCAGAACAGGAGCTTGAGCTGGGACGTCCATCTTATTTTTGAATGTGAGAAACCGATTTAGTTGATCAGAGTATAATTTGCTTTTTTCCACTGCGCTAAGCTGTGGTGCATCCATGATTTCTTTCATTCGCTGCTCGGCATCATACATGGCATTTACAAGTGGTGGTTGACGATACGACTGTTTTTGTATAAACTTTTCAATCTCACCGGGAAGTATGTTGGTCTTGAGTCGTTGTTGATCATCTGTTGTTGGCTTTAAATCCAACATCAAATACCCGTGAGGTCGGCTCGTAGCATCTTCATAACTGCTCATAAATTCTTGTACTTTTCCGGGATTTATTTGCCTTGCAAGCATAGAAATTTGTTGTTTATCTCTTGGTGACTTGAACAACACGATATGATGGGCGTTTAGGCTGATATTTCTCATTTCTTTGCCTTGATGAAATATATTTTGAACAATATAGATGATAGATAAATTCCGATGATGACTTCCTTTCGTAAAAAAATCAGAAATACGTTTATCTTTGCCAGATTGAGCCATGAGATCATCCAATACGATCAAATTCCGTTGCGATACGTCCAAGTAATCTGCGTTGTCGATGTCTTCGGCGATGCCTTGATTAAACTCGATTCCAGGCATCGTTCTCATCATATCAAAATAGGAGGGTTGCCATTGACCATAACACCAAATGATACGTTGAGGAGGTGGACTTATAGTTTTCTGTGCATTCTCCAAGAGAGATTTTACCCATACAGTCTTGCCGCTTTGGGTGCACCCAGCTACGATACATGTGAAAGGATGCAGCATAACACTGGACCGATGGACAACAATACTGGATTGGGATAGAGTGCCAGGTCCGTGAGCTGTATTTTGGTGCCGTGAACGGTTACTTGAAGTTGAGAATGATTTGTTACAAACTGTGCAAGAATGAGACATGTTCACTGCTCTGTGTCAAAACGCTGAATGAAATTATTTTAAGTTGGTCCACTATTTATAACCACTCGTGATTATTCTTAGGATTCACTAATTTAATATAGGATTCAGTGATTCAATCTGTGATTCACTCAATGATTCAATCTGGGATTCAATGATTCACTCTATGACTCAATGATTCACTCAATGATTCAATCTGGGGTTCAATGATTCATTCAATGATTCAATCTAGAATTCAATGATTCACTCTATGATTCAATGATTCAATCTCGGATTCAATCTATGATTCAATGATTCACTCAATGATTCAATCTGGGGTTCAATGATTCATTCAATGATTCAATCTAGGATTCAATGATTCAGTCTATGATTCAATGATTCAATCTAGGATTCAATCTGGGATTCAATGATTCACTCTATGATTCAATGATTCACTCTATGATTCAATGATTCAATCTATGATTCAATGATTCACTCTATGATTCAATGATTCAATCTAAGATTCAATCTATGATTCAATGATTTACTCAATGATTCAATCTGGGATTCAATGATTCATTCAATGATTCAATCTAGGATTCAATGATTCACTCTATGATTCAATGATTCAATCTAGGATTCAATCTATGATTCAATGATTCACTCAATGATTCAATCTGGGGTTCAATCATTCATTCAATGATTCAACCTAGGATTCAATGATTCACTCTATGATTCAATGATTCAATCTAGGATTCAATCTGGGATTCAATGATTCACTCAATTATTCAATCTGGGGTTCAATCATTCATTTAATGATTCAACCTAGGATTCAATGATTCACTCTATGATTCAATGATTCAATCTAGGATTCAATCTATGATTCAATGATTCACTCAATGATTCAATCTGGGGTTCAATCATTCATTCAATGATTCAACCTAGGATTCAATGATTCACTCTATGATTCAATGATTCAATCTAGGATTCAATCTGGGATTCAATGATTCACTCAATGATTCAATCTGGGGTTCAATCATTCATTTAATGATTCAACCTAGGATTCAATGATTCACTCTATGATTCAATGATTCAATCTAGGATTCAATCTGGGATTCAATGATTCAATCTAGGATTCACTCTATGATTCAATGATTCAATCTATGATTCAACGATTCAATCTAGGATTCAATCTACGATTCAATGATTCATTCAATGAATCAATCTGGGATTCAATGATTCATTCAATGATTCAATCTAGGATTCAATGATTCATTTAATGATTTAATCTATGATTCAATGATTCATTCAATGATTCAATCTATGATTCAATGATTCACTCAATGATTCAATGATTCAATCTAGGATTCAACCTATATTCGCAATGAGATGACGTACTTTGATGTGTACAGGCCTTTTGTAGAGCTCTTATGTACTTCTCATCCAACTCAACAGCAAGCTCTTCTTAATTCTGCATCAGCTGAGCAAATTCGATGCTTGTGTCATTGTATAGAAAATTTCACATATCCTAAAGAAATAAAGGACAAACTCAGACCTTTCAAACAAGATCTAGCTGATTTAGCGAACAGAAGTAGAAGTTTTAAAACGAAAAAGGAAATTCTTGTTCAGCGGGGAAGTGGCTTTCTGGAATTGGTACTTGGACAACTTTTAGAAGGCCTTGCAGAATTAGTATAAAATAATAAGCATGAAGGATATCTCCTCATTCCAATCATGGATAACGACAAACGAGCATCTCCTGAACAGTGGAGACTTGAAGACATTCTCAAATATCTTGATGTTAATGATGAACACGAAGCCGAAGAAATCCTTCATTCTATTTTAACCTCTACGGGGATTTTGACTTGGAATGGAAAAGGAGAAATCGTTTACAGAGGACATAATATACGAGGAACTGACATTGTAGACCTTCTGAAATATTGCGTGACGCCTTATCATCCAGATATTCCCGAACCAACTGGATTGAGCATTTTTATAAAAGATCTTGCAGAATTGGAAATTGATAAAAGTCTAATCGTAAATGGACATGTCCTTTCTGTGTTAGCCCACAAGTGGTCCCATCAGGATACAGAATCTGATGCTGACGCAACTTGTAACAGTTGTAACAAAGATATATACATCTCCCATTTG